TGAAACTATTGAAACGAACCTATNTTGCAACAGATCCTTAATGATTAGAAAAACAGCAGTAACAAGTAGCTACGTTTAGGCTATTCGCAGGATGTTCAAGTACTTTAACATCAATGCTATTCAAAAATTAGACAGTGTCACGTGCTCGATGCGTGGATGCGTTATCGTAATGAAAATCCCAAATATCCATTCTCGAATTTAGTCAAATTTCCTGAACCTATTGATAAATTTGAGCAAACATTCGTCCATACACCAAGTCCAGTACGCTGACTTTCTATTTATTCCAAAATATCCTCAACATCATCACAAGGTCGTCAGACTGGTTGAACACTCACTTCCATTCCTTCCTACCCTGAGCTAATCTTCGCATTTCTCCAAATTAGAAGATCCCACATCCTTAACTATTTGCGAACAGTAATCTAATCTAGGTCTACGTCTACTCCTCTTAACTCCTGTTTCTGCCTCTAATATGTCTGACTAGACCTTCGTGCATGGGAAGGTGTTCTATCAACCTATCTCGCCTACTTTTTATTGACTTCCATAATACCACTTCATTTTTAACCTTCTCTATCCTCATCATTCGCCGGTAACACCAAATTTCGAACCCTTCCAACCTTTTCTTTTCCACCGCGCCCACCGTCCATGTTTCTCTCCCGTACAGCGCGGCACTTCAAACATACACCTTTAACAAACTTTTTCGAATTTCTAAATTAATCGTTAGCGAGCATCAAAGTGACTTCTTTTTATTGAAAGCGACTCGACCCTGCGCTATTCTTTGCTTTATATCCCTCCCAGGGGCGCAACAACGTTACAATTTGACTGGGTGCTCACCAAAAAAAAAAGTTCTCATCATAAAAAAGGTCATTAATGGAAATAATTGGAAAATCAAAAAAATCGGCTGCTCTCATCATAATATTATAAATGACTAAAAAAAAAAAAGATCATCAATTGACTGGGTGGCCAACCCAAATCGAGTGAGTGCCCGGGCACCCGTGGACCCCCCCTTGTTGCGCCCCTGGTGATGTGTACATGGAACAATTAATGGCCGGACAACTTCCTCGTCTAAAATTAAAAAGATTTCGAGATGCCAACGACAGAATCTTGTGGAGGATTGTAATAACCGTAAGTGATTAAAATAACATTGAATATTTACGGTCAATAGCACGTAATTACCAATTTTATCAATAAACAATTATTGAAGGTTCAATTTTGTTTTATTTATTTAGGCGGCGAAA